ACCCCACCCCCCCCCCCCCGCCACACCGAATCCGACGGCGAAGAACACAAGCCCCAACACAGCCGCCCTAAGATCATCACCAGCGACTCCTACGTCACCGTTTTGGTCCCCGAGACCACCGTGGCCAGGACGCGTGTCATAAAGAACTCGCAGAACCCGAAGTGGAACGCGCACTTCTTCATCCCCCTGGCACACCCCGTAATTAACCTCGAGTTTCAGGTTAAAGACAACGACCTCTTCGGCGCCGAGCTCATCGGCACCGCTAAGATCTCCGCCGAGAAAATCGCTACTGGAGAACTCATATCCGGGTGGTTTCCCATTATCGGGTCATCCGGGACGCCCCCGAAACCCGACTCGGCGATCCGGGTCGAGCTAAAGTTCACGCCTTTCGAGAAAAACCCACTGTACAAGCATGGTATAGCGGGCGATCCGGAACACAGGGGTGTGCGCCACACGTATTTCCCGTTGCGGAAAGGAAGCTCCTTGAGGTTGTACCAAGACGCGCACGTGCCGGATGGGCTGCTGCCGGAGATTGAATTGGATGGACGGAAGGTGTATAGGCCTGAGAATTGCTGGGAGGACATTTGCTATGCGATTTCGGAGGCTCATCACTTGATTTACATTGTGGGTTGGTCTGTGTTTCACAAGGTGAGGCTGATTCGAGAGCCCAGCCGACCGTTGCCACGTGGCGGCGACTTAACGCTCGGCGACTTGCTCAAGTACAAGTCTGAAGAAGGCGTGAGGGTGTTGCTGTTGGTCTGGGACGATAAGACCTCACACGATAAGTTCTTCTTCAAAACGGTCACAATTCCAAACCTGCATTGTCTTTTTGAATTTGGTTTTTGCTTATTATGGATATGTCAATCATTTTCAATCTGTATGGTTTGGAATCTTTTAGTGGTGTCTTTGATTGTAAATAGGGATGGATAATGGTTATCCATTGGCCCAAATGGGTACCTATGAGTTGGTGGTGTAGTGGTGGTGGCTTTGGTGGTGATGGTGATGGTGGTTGGTTGGTATCCATTGCTCATCCAAGTGCGTACTGCAACCTATGCAATGCACTATATGGACTGAAATGTAAAGCCAGAAAAAGAAAAGAGAAAAGAAGAGGAGATCCCAAGTTGGACTATTTTATTCCATTTCGGGTAATGGGGTGTTAGAGGGGTACTTAAGTAGTTAATTGGGTTGGTTTCACACCTTCTATTACTCTCCCAGACTTTTGGACTGTAGCAAATCTGTTCAGTAGTTCATCATCTTTATTCAGTTATGCTGTTTCCCTCCCCATCTTACCCCTAGTGAGATAACGAATTTTTAGTGCATTGTGTAATTTGTCAAGATGCTTGTGCAAGTTTGTATGTGAGGTCATGGAAATTGGTTCGTAATGTGAAGTTCGGATTGGTTGCAGGCAGGAATGATGGGTACGCATGATGAAGAAACCCGGAAGTTTTTCAAGCATTCATCTGTTAATTGTGTTCTGGCAACTCGCTACGCCAGCAGTAAGCTTAGCATTATTAAACAACAGGCAGGTTTTGGACGCCCTTATTTGCGTGATTCAGCAAGCTTTCCTTCACTTTCATGTAAGATTTTGCTTTCCACTAAGCTGATCAACTTGCTGAGTCTAACTTGCATTTTATGGGTTTGTGCAGGTTGTTGGAACCCTCTTTACCCACCATCAAAAATGCGTTCTTGTGGACACACAGGCACGTGGTAATAATCGCAAGATAACTGCATTTATAGGAGGTCTTGATCTCTGTGATGGTCGTTATGACACACCTGAGCACAGACTGTTCCGTGATCTTAACACTGTATTTAAGGATGATTTTCATCAACCTACTTTTCCTGTAAGTAATTGGTGATTGGGTTATGCATTTTATTTCTGCATTGTTTCTAACATCCATAACAATTGGGATAGTATTTAAGACCCTGTCATGATTTTCCTTGTCTTTCTTGTTTCTTTCTAATTCACTCACGTACTAGCATAATTTGTATATGATATTTTATTTTCAATGATTACTCAAGATCCACAAAATGAGGTTTCTATTCCTTTAAATAGACTGCTAAGATGCATATCTTTTTGGCTTTTTGTGTTTTGTTCCTGTACTAGGCTGGAACCAAGGCTCCAAGGCAACCATGGCATGACTTACACTGTAGAATTGATGGGCCTGCTGCGTATGATGTTCTTATAAACTTTGAGCAACGTTGGAGGAAAGCAACACAATGGAGAGAGTTCGGACTAAAAAAGAGGGCTTCACATTGGCATGACGATGCTTTGATAAAAATTAACCGCATCTCATGGATACTTAGTCCTCCACTATCTGTTTCAAAGGATGGAACAACTATTCCAGAAGACGACCCTGCTTTGTGGGTTCAACGTGAAGATGATCCCGAAGATTGGCATGTTCAGGTTGGATGATGAAACTTTCTTTCACTCTTTTTGTTATTTTCTGTTTCTTTCAATATATATATATATATATATATATATATAATAAAATAAATAGGAGAATCAAGCTGGGTATATCTTTCTTTCTTGTGCAGATTTTTCGGTCCATTGACTCAGGATCACTGAAAGGATTTCCCAAAGCCATCCCTAATGCTGAGGCCCAGGTTTGTATTTGACCCCCCCTCTCCCTCCCCCTTCTATCTTTCTTCCTTTTAATACTTTTAAATGTGTAGACAAAATCTGATCATTCCTCTTGATTGTAACTGCAGAATCTTATTTGTTCAAAGAATCTGGTAATAGATAAAAGCATTCAAACAGCATACATCCAGGCAATCAGATCCGCTCAACATTTTATATATATTGAAAATCAGTATTTTCTTGGTTCATCATATGCATGGCCAGATTATAGAAATGCAGGTAAGCTGACAATATGCTGAGCACTGCATTATGATGCTTGTTTCTAGGAATTTTTTTTGGGGGGAGCAAAACTTTAGCTTTGCGAAACAATGCATCATGGTATTATGCACTTGAAATTTATGGGTTCTAGCATTCTGTACATGGGAACCAACTCAACTTCCACACACCCGTCCCCCTTCCCCAAGTACAAATCTTTTTTTCCCAAGTAATTGCAATTTTTATTATTTACTCCATAATTGACTGGGAATATTGAAAATTTGCATCTTCATTTTATTCTGTCGTTGGCTTTAAATTAGCCTTAATGACCCAAGACTATTGCACCTGCCACCTAACCACTTATATTTTTTCAAATTCACATTCTTCGGTTTGAAAAATATAAATAAAGTAATTGTTATTAATTGATACTAGGATATATGCTTTCTTTGCATTCAAATTTATCCAAATATTTTCTTTCATGGTGTGAGCAGGAGCTGATAATCTTATCCCAGTGGAGTTGGCATTAAAGATTGCTAGCAAAATTAAAGCTAAGGAGAGATTTGCAGTGTATGTTGTTTTACCTATGTGGCCTGAAGGTGATCCAAAATCTGCTGCAATGCAAGAAATTCTTTTCTGGCAGGTAGGTGATTATATATTATGGAAATGCTTATACATGGGAAACACGTTTTGGTAAACAGGAACATTAAGATGGCTGTAATGTTCTTCTAATGACTATAATAAACAGCGATGGACTTTTTGCTTTGACATCATTGATTCTCTTTGCTGGTAGCTTGTTTTTAAGCTACTCTTTGCTAGTAGCTTGAATAATACATCATCTGTTGTTTGGTTTCCAATCAGTGGGCTTGTTTTCTTGGAAATTATTGGTTCAGAATTATTCCTTTCGTGTTGTTCATCGTAGTATTGGTATCATGGTATCTATCCTTAGATATCAAGGACAAGGAACTAGTGAAAGTGTGTAAGAATAAGAATGGAAAGGACATATAGAAGTTGCTTTCTGACTTGTGCATGTTTACTTTGTGCAGAGCCAGACAATGCAAGCAATGTATGATATTGTTGCAAAGGCACTAAAATCGGAGCAGCTTCAGGACTCACATCCTCAAGATTACCTCAATTTCTATTGCCTTGGTAACCGGGAAAAACTTTCAGAGGAAACTTCGAATGACAATGGTGCTTCGGTAATTATTTGAGAATAATTGTCTTTCCAACTGCTCTGACTTTATTATTCAGTGCTAGCTTCTTTGGTTGGCATTAACTAAATAGTAGGCCCTTAATCCACATGGCTGAGAAATTCATGGTTTCCAATTACAATTTTCACAATATATTCACTTAATCTCTCTAATGCTTTCAGCTTTGAGATCTTAGTATATGCAAAATCCATGCTGTCGTTTTCTGTAATTAGCATGTACTACTCTGTGGGACCTTGAAATATCAAAATATGTATCGAGATTAGCACGCAAGACAGTAGAAAGATTTCCTCTATCCTGTTTGGTATATTTAAAGGTCAATGTCACGATCTGTCACATTTACATTATTGTACCAATGGGAAGGCAAAAATATTTTGTTAATGTAGATTACTCTAGTAGTTGTAGTATGTTACACATTTTAAGGCGAAAGCTCTATTTTTACTTATTTTAAAGGTTGGATTTTTGTTTTTGGCCATTATTACAGATTAAATGCATTCACTTTTGTATTCCTACCATGCCAATGACCTTACGCATTTTCCTGAGATTTACCATTAGTTCATCTCATGCTTCACAGAGGATAAGATGACCACTCAAGCTTAGATCTTTAAATTCATTAGATATCTGCTTTAATTTATTGTCTGCGAGAACTTTTCAGATGTTGGCCTTTATAATAAAATTTTCTTTCAGGTCTCTGATGCATATAAATATCAGCGGTTTATGATTTATGTTCATGCCAAGGGTATGGTAGTAGATGACGAGTACGTAATACTTGGATCTGCCAATATCAACCAAAGATCAATGGCTGGTAGCAAAGACACTGAGATAGCTATGGGTGCATATCAGCCCCATTACACTTGGGCTGAGAGGCGGAAACATCCATTTGGCCAGGTATGCCACTCTGTATAATTGAGGCTCCTTTCTTGGCTGATGCCGAGGAGGATATTTATGAGCATGAGTCAATTCCTTCAGCTTCCGAGAGACTTCATGAGCACTAGCTGTTATAATTGTTCTCGTCTTGGTTCAGAGTAGCAGTTCCTTTCCTTTTTGCCCCTTCTTTCCATTCTTTTCCAAGAACAAGTTAAAATGCATTTAAGAAACTTCACAAAATCCCCTTGTGGTTGAGTTTGTTGAATATAGTTATTTACCTCCCGGATTTAGAATTTGTTGACAACATAAAGAATTTGCCTTTTTTTTTCAATTTCTTTTACACTTACATGCTTTAATTAGACATCCAATATTCTGTTCATGCAGATATACGGATATCGAATGTCGCTTTGGGCTGAGCATCTTGGTAAAGATCCATGCTTTGAAGAGCCAGAGAGTTTGGAATGTGTGAGGACAGTCAACGGGATTGCTGAAGAAAACTGGAAGAGATTCACATCTCCAGATTTTACACTACTGCAGGGTCACCTTCTGAAGTATCCTCTGCAGGTAGATGCCGATGGGAAGGTCGGCCCCCTGCCAGGACATGAAAATTTCCCTGATGTTGGTGGTAAAGTAATTGGAGGTCATTCTGCCGCACTTCCTGATACTCTCACAACATGATCTCTCCAGAGTCTTATGTTCATACACGACTTGTTAAATAAAATTGAAGCGATATGTCACCCAGCCCTCCGAGTTACCAGATCAACCTAGTTGCTGTTTCTTTCATGCTAATTTCAGTTCGTTTCCTTGTTGATTAGATTCTGTGAATTTGTACCGTAACTGATGCATATGTGCCAACATAGTTGAAAATATCACTTTGTGAATTTACACACAATGACTTGGAAGAGTAGATATTGTGAATGAAGATTTTTCATTTCTTTTTCTGTTTTTGTACAAATTGGTTGAAGTTCTTAAGGCAGTTGCATTATATATTTTTATTCCTATTGCTAATATGGATGGCAAGCAAGCAGTAAAGTGAAATAAACCAAAGTTACTTCCAATGAACCATAATTCAACCACAAACTTGATATTAAACCATGCAATAAAAAAACAATTAAAAATTGTTCCCTCTAAATTCAAATACTAACCAAATTTATTCGTGATAATAATCAAATTTACTAGTCTAGTTTTTTTACGGTAAAAAAATAAAAATAAATTCCTACCTGATAGACAAAAGAGAATCAAAATTTTCCTAAATTACTTAATAAATAGAAATTACTATAAGAAGAAATATTTTTACAAAAAATTTCTCCCACAGAAAAGTTTATCGTTCAATCAAACTAGCCCCTACGCATGTGCCAATTAGTTTTCTTTTTTATTTTATTTTTAGAATTAAGAAAAGATAACAGAGTAGTTATGTTCTATAAAAGTAAGACCTATTATCTGATTTTGTTTTTAATTTTAATTTTTTTAATATAAAAAATGTGAATTTATCATATTATCTTCATTTAATTAATGATTATATTTTTTAATGTTTGAATTAACCAATGACATTTTCTAGTATTTTGAATGTTTCATCATTCTCTGCATTTTGCTTTATATATATAGATTTACAGGTTAACAGATTAAAAAAAAAAAAAAGAAAAAAAAAAAAAGAAATGGTTATTTAACATAACAAATATGTGCCTTCAACGTAGGAGATTATACCCCTGACATATATATAATGTAATTTCCGGTTTACATAGACAATAGATACAAAGTGGGCTTTTACCCTTTCAAGAAAGCTCATTGACCCCAAACCCTAATACCTCGACTTTGTTCTCTAGGGTTCTTCGTCTTTGCCCTCTGCGAATGGTAATCTCTCTACTTACGTGATGCTCTAGTGCTGTTGCATGCTTGAGAAAGCTGAAAGATTTTAATGCGTTTTTCATTTTACATTTTTTGCAGGCGGATTCTCCTCGCAAAAAGTAAGCCCTATAATTTCAATTGCTGTTTTTCAAATTCTGGGTTCGAATTGCATCCTAATATATATTATATGTGTATATTTGTAGAAAAATAATTGCCTTTCAACATATTTGTTGGGTCGAGGCTTTCGATCTATTGGTGCTGATTTGCTTTGTGTCAGTGATTTGGAGTTATTGGAATTTTTATTTGGCTATGTTTGACCCTTGAAGCTTCCTTTGTCTGTTTTTTGTGAGCCACTTACTATCCGTAAATCATTTTGTGAAATCACTCTCTCTCTGTCTTTCAGTTTTTCTTATAAGAAAGGAAGAACACAAATTCCCTGTTTTAGGATTTTCAATCTTAGCTTCGATTTTTAGAAATAGCCATAGATATGCGAGTGGGTAAGGAAATCATACGGTTCTGCGTATATGCTGTGCCTTAGTCCATGGAAGATGTTCTACGGGCAATCTGTTTATTTGGGAGACCATCCAATGCGGCAACTGTTGATACATGCAAGGTTTTGTCTTTACCATGTAGGTCTTGGTGGTGTAGTTTTAGAATGGTATATGCGAGTTATGTTTATGCTTGGAAGTTTTCACTTTGGAATTATAGAGGATAAAGTCACCCAGAAGTTTTATGTTCAGATTTGTTACTTTTTCCATTATGTTTTGGAGAATGTTTTAAATGTCTTATTTAGTGGGGCGAAAATTGTTGAATTGTGATACTAATGAATCAGGGAGACTCTAGTTAAATATGTGGTGTTCTTGTGATTCCATTTGGGGTAGTTGTTATGATCAACATGGCTTGCTTTCGCATTTTTGACAATGAGACGACCATTCTAGGGTCTGGTAATAAACGCATTATAGGTGAATATTATCTTTTAGAGCATATTAGCTGTGAGTTCTTTTCATTATGAAGATTCACTATGTGGGAAAGTGTTTTGCGCTTTCTGGCTCTTATTTTTTGATGTTGTTCAGAAGTTTTATGCCATACATATGTGTAAATCAGGTACTCACGATCCCCTTCTCCATGGAGAGCTCAGTCCAGGTCCAGGTCCAGGTCTTGGTCTAGGCCTAGGTCAAGGTCAAGATCGTGGTCTAGGCCAAGGCAGAGATCTCGCTCTAGAAGTCGTGGCAGGTTGGTCTTCCCTTTTTTTGCTTACCAGGCAGAGATCTCGCTCTAGAAGTCGTGGCAGGTTGGTCTTCACTTTTTTTGCTTAAATGTGTTGTTCATGTTTATTAGTATCAGTATTTTTCAAAGGCAAAAACAAGCACTCCATGACTCGAGAGCAGGGTGCCCAAGGTGTTTCTTTGTTGCATGACACAGTTTTGCCTAGGATTTGAAAAGGAAACTTAATACCCCACTTAGAGCCTCTTTCTCCCTCCCCATAAAACCTGAATAACCATAACAAATAATTAGAATATCTTGGTAGCCTCTAACCCACAACAACCAAGTAGCTCTCAGATATTTTTGGCCGCTCTAACGTGGTTTCCTGCAGATTTATATTTCTTAAATTTCAGTAATTCTCATTCCTGAAGGCTTACACCTCAATGCCTTGTGGCTTGTGCCTCACTTGTGAGGCACAAAACACCTCACATTATGCCTTTGCATTGGAAAACATTGGTTTTAGTAACTTTGGTTTTGAAAACATTGATTTATTAATTTTAGTTTTAAAAATACTGGTTTTAGTAACTTCAGTTTTTCTGCCATGTGACACCAATGATTCTTATAAATGGTTGGCGTTTTTTTGGGTGCAGATCAAGGTCCAGAAGTCCTGGCAGGTTGGTGTTAATTTTGGTTTTTCTTTACAGTAGCATATCTGTTTATAAAGTTGACAGTGGTCAAACCTTCTTTCGATTTATGACACTGATATTTTTCTCTGGTGCTCATCTGAGTTTTGCTTTATGTGGTAGGCCTGCTGCTATAAATCCTGGAAATACACTGTATGTGACTGGCTTATCAACAAGGGTCTCAGAGAAGGATGTTGAAAGGCATTTTTCAAAGGAGGGAAAGGTGCTTTTATTATTTTCTATTTTATTTAGTGAATTTTTTTTATTGCACTAACTATTCCATTATTCATGGTATAGTGATGAATTTCGCATTTATATGTTCTGCTTGTCTTATTTCACAGGTAGCCTCATGCTTTCTTGTTGTGGAGCCCCGCACTCGAATTTCTCGTGGTTTTGCCTTTGTTACTATGGACTCGGTTGAAGATGCTGAACGGTGCATTAAACATCTCAACCAGTCAGTTCTGGAAGGTCGATACATAACTGTTGAGAGGGTAATGTGATTTTCATATGGTGATAAACTTTAAACCATTTGTTTTGTTTTGTTTTGTTTTTCTTGACGTGGCGGTTTTCTGGTTATATTCATAACTCATTGCGTCAGGTATGTTGGCAGCAATCACAGATGATGAGTTTATCCATGTCAACTTTAGTGATACAGCTTGATCAATGGCAAGCTTAAACAGCTTTTCAAATGCGCCTGATCAACTAAACATAGCAACTATATTCCAACAACATTACAACTTCAGCATTCACTTTCAACTCTCAACTAATCCACGGACATTACCAACAACTTTCTAATGAGGCTTTTATGGTATTTCATAACTGGCATTCATTTTGTGGACACTAATCGTATCACATATGTGCCTGGATATCTTGTGCTTGTTTCTGTGTCCAGATTTCCCACTCTATTTAGTTTCCTCTTAAGTTTTCTTTATCAAATATATATTTTTAAATCTGATGAAGTATAAAAAATAATGTTGCTTGTGGTAAGATATATTTCAGTTCTTCAAATTTTGTTAATGATTCTTGTATGATTAATTTTGCCAACTGTATAATGGAAATTTCAAAGAATTAAGGATTTATATGTTTATTTTCAGTCTCGGAGGAAGCGGCCAAGAACTCCAACACCTGGGCATTATCTTGGGTTGAAAAATACTAGAGACTATGGTATGCTTAATATGCTTTCCTATGTAAATAATAAAAGTGCAGTTGTCTCACTGTGGTTTGTTTGCCTGTATCTCATATTTTATCTCTGTATCGGTGACAGGTTATCGAGGTGATCGGGATGGGGATCGGGATCGGGATCGGGATCGTGATCGTGATCGTGGTAGGTATCGTGGGGGCTCAGGTCGTGATGACTATGGATATCGGAGGTCTCCAAGGCGCTCACCGTACAGAGGTGGCCGTGATTATTCTCCTAGGGGTTCACCTTATGGCGGAAGATCTAGAAGGGAGAGGTCTTATTCTCCCTATGGCAGCCCTGAAAGGAAGTATGCTCGTGGCTCTAGATGAGGCCATGTTGTTATTTCCTGTCCTCCAAAATTTACAGACTAAGGGACAAAATGTAGCAATGTAATGTTGTGTTCTGGAGTCTGAAGTTCCTCTGGTTTCGTTTCTCATGTTGTTACTAAGTAGTAGGATTGCTGGTTTGTGCCTTTGGACATGGGAATCGATATATAATATGTCGCCTAGCTTATCTCCAATTTTAGTCTTCCCTGTTTGTACACTGTTTTCTGTGAAATTTGAACTATGAGAAAGTTGGTTTCGATCTTGCAGAAAGCCTAACCAACGGTGCAAGTTCGGCCAAAGAAATTGGCTCTTTTTCTTTTGTAGTCTTGATGATTCTCACCTCGTTACTTTTCCTAGCTTAGTTAAATGTTCCCAAGTTAGAAGCCATGCTTTTCTTCCAAAGAAAATCCCAGTTGACCTCATCTTAAAAAGTTCAAAGCTTACAAAGGACCACTAGTGTAATAGTTTGGAGCAATTGCTCTTCCAAGAAAGGTCTTTGATTTGAGTGTGTGAGTTTAGTACTATCACTCTCTTAATAGGAAAGGTCTGAAAACATTTATAAAAAGAAAAAAGAAAAAAAAAGATTGGTTTGGGCTAAAATGTGCTCTCGTCGCAATCAATCTCAGCCCGATAAAAGCCATAGGCCTATAGCTGGTTGCCTAGGTGATAATCAGCAATCTGGGCCTAGCCCAACTATTAATTGTACAACTTATCAA